TGGTAAAATTACCAATAATTGGGGAAAAAAGTGAGATGGTAAAGGTACCAACGGACCTTGGTAAAACGCCGAGAATTTTTTTCAGTGTTGAGTGCTTTCGAAAGTGGTGGGCAGTGGTGATTCTTGAAAGTTGGCGACCCTGTTTTTCCTCCGTTTAAATGTATGTAAAACAATCGATTCTCGGTGAAGCAGCTTGCCTCCCCGAAATCGATATTTGTGGATGGATTTAATGGAGGAAAAGCGGAGTTGCCAAATTGCAAAATCGCTGCAATTTTTGAGTTGAGAAGAGCGTTTTGTATTATTTGAATGTTGAGCTTCCCCTATTCTGAAAAACTTATCACACCGAGTGTCTTGAAAAATGTTTGAAGATTTCGATTGTGAGCATTAAATTTAAATGCGCAGAAGTTTTGAAAAGGCAAGCATACTTATATACTTATAAAAGATTTACACTGAGTCGAAATTTTGCCTGATTATTATCCTTTCCCCAGATTACTAATGGCAAATGTCGGGTTAACTGTCGATTCTTTTCTCTAGAGTGCATGTGGGAAAATTCAATTTCTGTCGGATCATTTGACTTTTTGCACGGATTTCAGAAAAAATGAGGCAACCGCAACTCGTGAGGGTTTGTTTAGGAGCTTTGACGAAGGTTATCGAGTCAAACAATAAATGGTTCATCATGCATTATAGCACTTCATGGGCCTTTGTTAAATTTTATCGGAAAACCATACAATTGGTAAATGACGTCATCCATCGAGGCATTGCATGAGGGTTTAATAGTGTACAATTTGCGAAATATTACTTCATAAATTTAAATTTACTGATGAGAAATACAATAAGTATTATTTATTGAAGTTGAAACCCATAATAAAACGCAGGTCCGATTCGGAGACTTTCCACCCCTCGTACGCCGAGAGGGAAAGCATTCCAGACGGGGAGTTTCCAGCTGAGCCCATAAAGATAGCACCGTTTCGCTTGTTCAATTTGTAACGTGCCAAAAACCGTCTTAGAGGCGTTCCCCGAATAGCTGCTCCGCCAATTACCCGCAATACACCGTCAGCGGTTGCGAAGGACTTGGCAAGAAATTAGCATGTAAATGTGCGCAGATTGAAGGGACAGTATAGGATCGACGGCCAAGGACCGATATGAGATTCGCGTCGCGCTATGGCGAAGCAGATGTTACTACAATGAACGAGTTCTTGATGATTTGATGATGGAGGGGAGAATAGCGCCGTCCTGACGCTACGCGGAGGGGTAAGGCTGAGGAGGGAGGGGGCCCAGAGCTATTAAAATAACAATTCACACATTATGCTTAGGACCCCTTTCCTTGCAGTAAAAATAACGCTAAGGAAAGGGTTTCTAATATTATCCACACCTTAATAATCCGATCACCTCGTTGTATCATTTTCCCCGGTTGGAACAACTGCATTTGATGTTGGACAAATCCCCTTTGTCTCGATAATTTATAGACTACCCTCCCCTTCCCTTTCCCGTACCTTCCTACTATCATCATTTGGATGTGTTCATGCTGTAAGGAACTATGTGTATTAGATTTGCCCACAACATAGTTCTTTCTAGCATGAGTATGTCCATTTCTAAAACTGATTTCGACAGTATACCCTCTCAGTATTAGACACACGCATTCATGAAGGTGTCTGAATGAGCTCCTCCGACCACGACCCATTACCATTCACCGTGTTTTGACATTAATGAACCTTAACAGAGGGAAAATCCATTGTGCTCTTCCTCAAGAGCGCAACAGTCCCAAAATTTCGCAAGGACCCGAACTAAGTTTTTTAAACTAGGTAGCAGAACTTTAACTGAGTGTTTATTTCAACCATCATTATTTGTTGCTACTATCCACTACTTCATGCACCTTAATCTTTCAACGGTGACCCTGAAAAGTTCTGAATTTCGATTGAAAAATATCCTTTAAAGAAAGACCGATCAGAAATTGTTGTATGTGATGAGTTCTTGAGAGAGTTTATTCTTGATTACAGTGGCGTGGCGTGAATTGCGATATATCGATTGATATGTAGTTTAAACCTATGGTAAAGAATCGATTATTAAGGTGTTCGCTGCGAACACCCTCTTTATCGATCCTTTTCCATAGGTTTAAATGGCATAACAATCGATATATCGCAAAGCACGCCACGCCACTGCTTGATTAGTCTGTAAAAAGTCAATATGCGTGGTAATGCTTGATCTTTCTATTAAAAATTAAAATTTTTGAAAAAGGCATTTGGACAAACACGAAGCATTCTTGTTTTACAATATCACTGTAACATTTTACGTAACAGCTACTTGCAACTTTTTAAGTTAAAAGCTAAATGATGCTTTCTTGCTCCTTATGATCATTATGCTAACGGACGCAAAGAGTTGCGTCAAGAATCGCCATACGCGATACACGCATACTAAACTATCTATCTATAGAGTATTTATTAAACTATGGAGAGCTAAGCATCACAAAGTTCAATCCCACAATTGGTATACTCGGAGGAACACCAGCTATTAAGCATAGGTTGTGCTGGTCAGTTTTATTCTAAAAGAACTTTCCAGTTTCCTCTGGTTCCACTGGTTTTTCACTGGCTCATGAGCGCATCGCTGCGTTATCGTCTAACTATAGTGCTAGCAGCTTGCTAGTGCATCCGACCGAACAGCCCTTCGTTATGGCAATAATTGTATGCGGGAGAGTTTTGAGACATTCAAAGCGCCTTCAAATACACAAGATGCAACAGATCTTGCAGTTCTGCATTCGAAGGCATCCAAGTTTAAAAACTCACATTCAGTCCGCAGCAGATTACCGAACAATGAGCTAACCGCAGATAACCAAACAATGAGCTGACTATTGCATCAAATCATGAACTTCCTCATTAAAAACCCAAGACGTTTTTCAAAAAGTTCGAAATCAATTGATAAATAGGTAAAGAATTAGCGTTTACAGTTTACGCAATATATTTTGAAAAAATTACGATTTTTTCCTCTCTTCTCATTTTAATATCGCTATCGCAAAAGACATCTGATCCAGCCGGCACTTTTAATCAGGCAAACGACTATTTTAAGTTTGACGCAACGACGACGCAACTCATAATGACGCAATATCACATTTCACAGATTTATGAACATTTTAAGCGGAACTCAAACAATTTTGACTGGCTGTGCCAGTAAATGGACTAAGAAACCTCAATTGCCAATGAGTCAAATATTAAAAGAAAAGGAAGAAGTGTTGTGGGAAATGCGAGGAAATTCTGATTATGATGATGAAGGTTATTATTCATCCAGATTCCCTCAACATAAGAATCCTAATTCATGATGTTGACACCTTCCTTGCGTTTCGGCGTTATTAGAAAATGTAACAAATGTATCATGGGCGTTTAACTCGGCGCCTTATATTCTCAATAGCCACACGTTGTCCGTCTGAAAACTGTTGGGCGTGACAACTCGGTTCCTCAGCCCGTGACGCATTAATCGACGGTGATAAGTCAAGAGTCAAACACTGTCTAAATTCGCCCCAAGAGAGAGAGAGAAAACCCCTGAAAAACCCTGAATATTCAAGCTACTCAGGGAAGAAAGAATAGATCTCGTTTGCGGTGTCTGGAAATATCCGTCTCTGTGTTATTTCATTAAAGGAGAAAAAATTGTCATCATTCCTTGAAGTTTTTGTAGAATTTTCTTCGCACAGAAAAGAAAAATCACGGCAGTTTTAAAGAATTGCCGTTGATTAGTTTTCCGTTTAAAAAATGAAGTACGACTGGAAGTCTGAGACGTCGCAAACCCAGTTATGTGATAGCCGACTTACACCGTCGATATGCTACTCACAAACTTTTCAACGGGGATTTCGTGAATTGATTCCCTAACGGTCCCACCAGACTCAAAATAATTTGCCTGTTTCCCGGTCCAACTTAGCAGTAATTTTAAAAAAGTCCGTGCTGATCGATAACCACCCGATTTTTCAGCGCATCGTAAACTTCGCATGCGAAAGTGGGTGAATAGTGACAATAAAACTGGGGTAGGCTAGCTTCCACAACTTCAAACTTTGAAGCAACAATCGCAATTTTTGAACTTTTCAGAGGAAAAAAAATCGAGGACTTTCCACAAAAATGTCGATTCTAGGATCGCGTGATCTAGGATTTTCGACCTCTGCGCCTGTGGTTCTTATTTTGCGGCAATGCGTTACGTTTAACGCCTAAAGCCCGAGTCGCATTCGGGGGTTGGACCGTGAAGCTGTCAGGGGATGTAGCCTACTAGCTTTATTTCAATTTGTCAGATTTTTTATTATTTTACCTTCGTTTATTTTATTGTATTGATTGTTTTTCTACTCCTTATTTTATCACATTTTTATAAAATATCTTCATCCTCTCTCTTCTTTATTTTTTTCCTACTTCTTCTATCTCTCTACGATTTTGCTGATTACGCCACTTTCTATCGGCGCCCGCTACTTATTGCTGTTTTTCGCAAAATCAAAACGTCAAAAGTACCTTCTTCAGGCTCAGGGTAATCTCCATTTATTTGCTGGTGTTAGATCCAGCGGGCTGGGCTGATCATTGAAATTGATAGACAATTAGAATGAGATAGGCAGGGAGAAAATGATGGACTAAATAGGGTCTCTTGTGGGTTAGGTTAGTTGGTCTATTATCTTTCTCACTAGTCCATTGCAACCACCCGTTTGTCTAAGTCATCTTTGTTCATCAATTTCAATAATCAGCCGGCGGTAAGGAGTCATATAGTGCCAGTGGGCATCATAATGCGATAAATAAGTTTGTGTGCATGGATGGCCTAGTTTTAAAATAAGAAATACCTAACTAACAGTCGAGAATTTGATGATCAGTTACTTCAAAGTTCACAACCTGTTTTTATAATGATAACGAGAAAAGATTTTAAACGAAAATCATTTCAAGATCCAATTTATCCTCCTGAAATTATTCCATTTAAAATTTGACATGGAAAATTGTACAGTTGAGTAAACAGAGATTGTGTCAATCTAGAAGATTAAATCTACGTACCTTATGAGAGGCTCCTGACTGTCAATCCTGAAACAGAAGATGGAACGACCATTATAATACTATTACTAGACGTTAGGCACACAGAAGAAATGGAGGAGAATTTTCACTGATGAGGTGCAATAAATGACACTGACACACGATGAGCTTGTTCATTTTCATTAATTTTTTATTATATTGCATTTTTTAAAAGCAGAGTTGATACTTGATACATAGTAATTTACCCATATTTTGGGAAATGATATCATACCACGAAAAACGAGTTCGAAGTTGCGTATTTCGAGCTCACATTCAAACACGCATTGCCGAGCAAGGTAAGACTTAAGAGGCGTCCGCGTAAACTGCCGTGCTAATGAAGACACCGTATGAGCCTATGGGATGGGCGTTGCCAAATTTTCTTCAATACGAAAAGAGTTTTCTTGAGTAGGGGAAAATTTTGGACATTTTTCTTCCAATTTTTCAGAGCATTTCATTCGAAATTCGAACGGAAGTACGTAAAACTTTAAGGAGAAATACTCGAAGCTTTCATTAAAATTAATATTTTCATAGGGGAAATTTGGCAACTAATAAAGGCTCATACGCCGTTTTTCCATGGCAAGGCAGTGTAGCCCTGCGACCACGATGTTTCTTTCGATCGCGCGCCCCTCTGCCAACATTTACGATCCGTGCACGCCAGTATAGTAATATCCTCGGCTACGCTGCATGAACCATTGAACCATGAATCGCGGCAGAGGCATCGCAGAATGGAAAAAAAAAAAATCGCGTAGTTAAGGATTTAGTCGGACGACATCTTGGTTTTCTCTGCGAAGCACGTTAAAATGGAAGCTCAAAATAAGTGTACAACTTTGAACTTACTTTAAGTGGATGAATATTGCTTCAAGAAATTCTTATGTACTACGTATCTACACTACTTTAAAATATGCGGAAAAAGAGAATTCTTGAGCATTCTGGGTTTTCTGTGCGCAGACCTCCACCACTAGGCTGCCGCTCTAAGGAAAATCAACGTAAAAGGGTAACATCGTTGCCACATGTGTCTCAATAAAATACCAATTATTAGGCAAGTTTGAAAATACTATTCGGTCCATTTCTCAGAGCCTTCGGTCCCAACTTTCAACAAGTTTGCACTAAAGGAAAATTCTTGAAACCCCCAAGAAAAATGTTCTCTTGGACTTGACATAGAAAGAGAAAGATGATCTGCCTTCAATTTCGTGTGATACCACATACCTACTCCGGAGTTCGAATAGTTGCTCGCATCGTTTCTGCGTGTGAAGGAGAGGGAAATTGCGCTAGTTTCATCTCAAAATCGCGAGATATTCGCGTTATTTTCGACGGATTAAATACATCAGAAGAATTTAAGTCCAGTTCATCTCATTATCGCGGAATATGCGTGAATTTTTCAGCAGACGCATTGAATCCCCTACACGATTTCTCGCTTTTCATCTCGATATCGCCGTGAATGCGCGATTTTTCAATCGACCCGAGCATCACATTCATAAACGTCAATAACGTGATACAGAAGTGCTATGATTATCCTTCCATTTCGTGTGATACCACATACCAACTCCGAAGTTCGAATAGTGGCTCGCACTGTTTCCGCATGTGAAGGAAAGGGAAATTGCGCGAGATTCATCTCAAAATCGCGAGACATTCGCGTTATTTTCGACGGATTCACTACATCAGAAGAATTTAAGCCCAGTTCATCTTATTCTCGAGGAATATGCGTGATTCTTTCAACAGACGCATTAAATCCCCTACACGACTACACGCTTGTCATCTCAATATCGCCGTAAATGCGCAATTTTCATATCGATGCGAGTATCATATTCATAAACGTCAATAACTTGAGATAGAAGTGCTATGATTATCCTTCAATTTCGTGTGATACCACATACCTACCCGGGAGTTTGAATAAGGAGAGGGAAATTGCGCGAGATTCATCTCAAAATCGCGAGACATTCGCGTTATTTTCGACGGATTCACTACATCAGAATAATTTTAGTCCAGTTCATCTCATTACCGCGGAATATGCGTGAATTTTTCAGCAGACGCATTGAATCCCCTACACGATTTTTCGCTTTTCATCTCGATATCGCCGTAAATGCGCGATTTTTATATCGATGCGAGCATCACATTCATAAACGTTAATAACTTGAGATAGAAGTTCTATATTTCTCCTTCAATTTCGTGTGATACCACATACCTACTCCGGAGTTCGAATAGTTGCTCGCATCGTTACCGCATGTGATGGACAGGGAAACTGCGCGAGATTCATCTCAAAATCGGGAGATATTCGGGTTATTTTCAACGGATTCACTACATCAGAAGAATTTTAGTCCAGTTCATCTCATTATCGCGGATTATGCGTGAATTTTTCAGCAGACGCATTGAATCCCCTACACGATTTCTCGCTTTTCATCTCGATATTGCCAGAGATGCGTAATTTTAATATCGATGCCAGCATTACATTAATAAATGTCAGTTACTTGAGATAGGTGAAGCAATAAGATTCTCCTTCAATTCCGCGTGATACCACATACGTACTCCAGAGTTCGAATAGTTGCTCGCATCGTTTCCACGTGTGATGAATATAAAAGTTAGCCGAGTTTCATCTCAAAAATGCGAGAAATACGCGTTATTTCCGCCGACGGATTCATCAAATCAAAATAAATGATGTGCAATTCATCTCAGTATCGCGGAAAAACCATGATTTTTCCAGAGAATGCGTTAAATTCCTAGACGATTACTCGCTTTTTATCTCGATATGGCCGAAAATGCACGATTTTACCCGCGATTTCGCAGGAACAATTTTAATTACGCGATAATCTCCGCAATATCGAGCCAAATACGCAATTTCTCCATCGGTTTTGAAAAATCAATAAAAATTACTCGTATCCACCGCAATATCGCGGCATAGGTACATCCAAATTTTCTAGCGACTGAATGAGAATGATCAATTTTCAACTTATCGCGAGTTTTATACCGGTGCGAGCATAGAATTTATCGTGCCCATAATTCGTGAAAATAAAAGAGCTATGATTTTCCTTCAATTTTGAGTGATACCACATACCTACTCCGGAGTTCGAATAGTTGCTCCCTTGGTTTTCACTTGTTCAAAACTGAGAAATTACGCGCAATTTATCTCGGTATCGTGGTAGATGTGTAATTTTTCCAGTGGATGCATTAAATTCCAAACGAATACTCGCTTCTCATCTCGATATCGCCGGAAATGCAAGATTTTTCTTGCGATTTCGAACAAACCATAAGGAATTACATTTGCGTATGCACTATATCCTAAGCTTTTACGCGCTTTCAATCTCGAAGCCGTGAGAAATGCGCGATTTTCCCGGAGATAATGCAAAAAAGTAGGTTAAAATAGGTAGTATGATGTAAAATAGTAATATGTAAAAATAGTATAACCCTCGCAATATTGCGATAACTATGCGTGACTTTTCTAGCAATTTCGCAAAAATATTAGAAATTAATCGTTACTATTTCAAAATGGCAGCATACACTCAAAGTTTCAAAACTGAGCGAGAACATTAGGAACACACACTTTTCACCTCGATATTGCGGAAAATACGTAATCTTTACATCGATGTTTGTTAATGTTAACATCCGTAATTCAAGATGGTGACAACCTAAAATTTTCCTTCAATTTCGCGTGGTACCACGTACCTACTCCAGAGTTCGAATAATTGCTGGCTTCATTTTCGCATGTGCAGATGGGACATATTACACGACTTTTCGAAATTTTCGAGGAAAGTTCAATCGAAACATCGCGAGAAGTCCGCGATTTTTCCAGCGTATTCGCTTCGTCCGAAAAAATTATACAGCATTCATATCGGCTTCACGATTTTTCCAGGAAGTTTTAAGAAAAAATGAGAAACTACGCGATAATCACCACGACTTTGTGGCTAATACGTGATGTTACCAGCGGTTTTGTAAAACAATTAAAAATTAAGCTTTGTTCACCTCAATATCGCGGTACACATGCACATTTCAAGCGGTTCAGAAAGATCACACGAGACCCACAATTTTTTGATCGATACAGCGAAAAATGCGCGATTTTGATATCGATGGGAGCAAAATGTTCACCTGAGTCAGTAATTTGAAAACCTAAATTTTCCCTTCAATTTTGCGTGATACCACCCGTCTACAATGTACGGAGTTCGAATAGTAGCTCGCCTGATTTCCGCGTGTGAAGAATCGATACAATGCGCGAGTTTCATCTCAATTCGCGGCATTTCCAGTGGATTCGGTAACTCCTGCAGAATCAAACGCTGTCCATCTCAGTAGTCAGTACCGCGGAAAATGCGCGATTTTTGCAAAGATACTAAAAATATAAATGAGATTTTAAGCGACAATCACCGCAACATCGCCGGAAATATACGCGATTATTCCAGCGGTTCGATAAAATCATAAAATCATTCAAATTCACCTACATTTCGCGCAGACTGTGCAAGAATTTTCCAGTGGTTCATGAAGATCACTAAAGATCACACAATTTTCACCTCAATGTTGCGGAAAATACGCGATTTTTTAATAGACACGAGCAGAAACGGCAATTTTGAGAAGGCGGAAACCTAAGATTTTCCTGAAATTTTTGCATGCCGCTACGTACCTACTCCGTAGTTCGAACAGTTGCTTACTCTAGTTTCACCCGTCAAACAGTAATGAATGACACGACATTCATCTGAACATCGCAAAAATTGCGCAATAGCATAATACGTAATTCCTCATTAACATTGTGCGTAAAATGCCGGAGGCACAAAAAAATTAAAGAAACGTTTTAACAGTCTATCCTTGCCCTGTTCACAGGTCAATTCCCTATTTTTCCCCGTCTCTCTTGCATTATCATTGATGATCTATTCCCAAATTTCCCCGTTGATGGATGCAACGAGAAATCTCTTGCATATGTTGTGGTATCTCGCACGAATGAAGGCTCCTCTTTCACCCGTGAAACGCTCGTCGTTGGCCGTTGCGTTGCATCGCAAGTATCAATTCTTCACCCGGACATAAGGGCGTAACTGCAATACGCGATGAGCCCTATCGTCCGTTTAACTCAATGCTTTCCAGGGCTCATCTCAAATTGTAATTACGCCCTTTTGTCAGTCAAGCGACGAATTGCCGCACGAGTTAAGTATTTTGAAAATCTTGAAAATACTTAGATTTAAATCGAAAAATATCCTTCTTATTTCGGAATTTACGATAGACGCGATTTTGAGCCAACATGACATTAGTTACGTGTTTTTGCTTCATCATTTGCTGCTATAACGATAATAGAGAGTTCGTTTCAGCTGCGACAATCAATTCATTCACAAGCAGATAAATATTAGATCATAAATAAGAGAGAGAAACGAAAAAGTAGAGTTTTTCGGTACATACCAGCAGCAGGTTATCCAATTGCACGACGCCAAGCTGAAAGCACTTACAACACTATGTCACTGAGACTTCACAGAAAAACTTGGCCATTAAAAGATTTAAAATAACATTAAATATTGGTTAAAGATACACTTGCATCAGCACTGATTTAAATTCTGCCCATACTAGTTTTCAAAATATTTAGGTCATACACAATACTAAAATAAAATAAAAAATGGCGTAGCTATAATGATAAATAGTTTAAAAAGTCGACTGGATTCATTCCAGAAATATAACAATGAAAATGAAGGCTTTTCTTAGTTTGGTGCCCATTTCAAATCATACAAACGCAGAGCTTGAGCATGTTTACTATCATTTCACTTCCTGAAAGTGATTCGAGAAAATATCCGCTAGAGGTTCAATAGTCTCACCGCACATGTTACGTTTTCCGATCAATGTTATCTCTATTAAATCTGGACGTTTGGCGTCCAAAAGATGTTGTAGAGCATCAAAATTTGATTAACGTTTGACTGGGGGTTGAACCGCTGTGAAAGCGGCTGTTAGGAAAAATTTAAGCAGATTTCTTACACTATTGCTGGAAAGCAATTTTTTAGCAACTGACAATGCCACTCCAATTTGTTTAATTGGAAGGGAAAAACTGTGAACAGTAATGTGGACTCAAATTGTACATTTAGTTGCCGGTGAACAGAGATGCAAAATGGAATATCATTCTCCACTAAATTTGAACGATTTTATAGGGGCAACTCACAACAATTATCCGAGAATTCGATAAAAAAAACTTTGAAATTTGGCTTATAATTTTTTTTTTTTGGTCAAATTTCCAAAATTGAGATTTTACTTTTTCTGTGTTTCATGCCAACTTCATGAAACTTCATGTTATGAAGTTAAGTAAATGGTTGTACTTCTTCTACTGAAAAAACTCGATGACGAAACAAAGCCCAAAATTGTGTCACTAAATTATGAAAACCTGATGAGGTAAAAGCTCTTCCGACTCGACTCATAAATATTCCACCTCGTAAACTATAACATTTTCTTCTTACGATTATGAACTTCAATTCTCCTCAAATTCCGCTCATCTAAGAAAAAAATATTAAAATAATAAGTTTCATTGTACCCGCAATTTAGATGTGGATGTGTTTTGACAGAGAATCGCGAATTTCGTCAATATGCAGTTCGTTATATGCACCTATAATCTCATGGAATTTCTCTCATATAACAAAAAAAAAAAAAAAAAAAAATTGTAAACATCCCCTTTCTTTGACTGACACATTGGCATGCTCATATTATAATTTACATAGTGAATCAGAATTCATATTCATGCTGAGGTTACAAGTACTCCTTGAAATTCAATAGTAGGCAAAGAAAGCTGCTTGTAAAAATACTTTCGACTCATCTCATATACTTGTAGGGAACTTTTGACTCATCTCATAGATTTGCAGGGAACTTTTGACTCATTTCATAGATTTGCAGGGAACTTTTGACTCATCTCATAGATTTGCAGGGAACTTTTGACTCATCTCATATATTTGCAGGGAACTTGTGACTCATCTCATATATTTGCAGGGAACTTTTGACTCATCTCATATATCTGCAGGGGACTTTTGACTCATCTCATAGATTTGCTAAGAACATTCGTCGCTGCTGATATACCTCCCTACATACAACAAACACGATACACGTTTAAGTGACTATAGTAAAAAATACTAGCTACCATTGCATCATTCCGCTCTCATTTTCTCATGAGAAAAAAAATTGTGGAAATTATTTTGAGCTCAACTCATAGGTAGATGTGCAATAGTGCATGCTGATGAACACTTGGTTGGATTGGGAAAACGCACAATTCAGTCCCTAACGTCAGTACAGTTTAGTCCTAAAAAAAGTAAATTCATCTCCAAATCCTCTCATCATTGGCAAATTAAAAAACTCAATGTGGACTCAACTCATTACCTGTAAGCTGACAGACACATCTCAATTTTTAATAAATTACAGTCTCAGTTAAAATTGCTCTACATCTCGGTAGCTTCTTATACCTTCTCAAATAAAAATCGACAAATTGGACATCGATCATCTCCCATAGAACGCGAGGACTATGAATAATTATGGATGGCAACATCACAACTTTTAAATCAAAGGAATACTCAATACAAGGATTTTCCGCCTCATTCTAAAGTCAGCTTGACTATTATGGGGCATCCTACTGAATACCGCTCGATTAAAACGAGAACAAAGAGTTAGGGAGATATTAGGGTTAAAGTTAGGGGGGAGTTAGGGGGGGTGTAAAAAGCACGGGCAAAAAGAGGGTAACTAGATGAAAATAGATAGAAAAGAGAGGAAAAAAAGAAGGGAAAAAGAAGGGGAAAAGAAGGGGAAAAGAGGGGGGAAAGCGGGGGAAAAAAGAGGGGGAATAGGAGAAAAAAAATAAAAAGAAAAACAGAGGAAAAAAGAGGGATAAAAGAGAAGAGGAGAATGAAAGAAAATGAAGGAAATTAAAGAAAAAGAAGAAAATAAAAGAAATAAAAGAAAAACGAAGAAAATAAACGAAATAGAGAAAAATGAAAAATGAGGAAGAAAATTGAAGAAAAAGAAGAAACATGCAACACCATGCGACATGCACCATGCAACATGCAACACCAACATGCACCATGCAACATGCAACATGCAACATGCACCATGCAACATGCACCATGCAACATGCACCATGCAACACCAACATGCAACATGCAACAGAAAAAGAAGAAAATAAAAGAAAATAAAAGAAAAAGAAGAAAATGAAAAAGAAGAAAATGAAAAAGAAGAAGAAAATAAAGAGAAGAAGAAAAGAAAAAAAGAAGGGAAAAAAGAAAATAAAAGGAAAAGAGGAAGATGAAAGAAACAGAAGAAACATGCAACATGAACCATGCAACACCAACATACATACCATGCAACATGCAACAGGGAGATGCAACACCAACATGCAACAGAAGAGGAGGGAAGGAAGGCAAGGGAGAGAAGGAGGGAAGGAGGCGAAGGAAGGGGAGGATGGGAGGGGTGGGAGGGATGGGAAGGAAGGGAAGGAAGGAAAAAGGAACCTGCCACCGAAAAAAAGAGGTTTGCGTCTGAGACACAAGGTATAGGTAAAATGACGTTATTACACCCTCCCTGCCTCTCGTAACTGCCGCGCCAAGGCCGGCAAAAGCCCTGCCCAGCAGTCACAAGACACAGGGATGGTGAAGCAACGCCTTTTTACCGCCCCTCTCGTGTTGCAGACCCAAACTCTTTTTTTCCGTGGCGGGTAACCATGCTCAGGTGAAAACCGCATTGATAAATATACCAATGCGGTATGAATCAGCCCAAGGGTTTCAGGGGCTACTGTCCAGCGGGGGTCCGGCCAGCAGTCGAGGCGGGTCTGCGGATGGCCCCTACTCGTGCGTCCAACGGTCCGACGTCCGACAGCCGGGCTGACGGCTCGCCGGACGGTCCTTCAGACATTCTGTCGAACGGCATTCTTCCGAAGTAACTTCACTTTCACCCTCTTGCAGGAACTTCAACTATGGAACTACATCCGTGTCAACGCAGTTTATGGTTTTTACATGAAAATCGTATATTCCTAGGGGCTCGAAGAGGGGTCTTTCGAGTATCTGGAGCGGCTTGCTTAGGGGATGATCACCCCCTTAAACATAGGTCTAATGTGCGTCACAGGGGCCCCTTAGGACAAACTTTTGGGGGCTCATTAGGCACATTAACCCTCTTATGAAGATGCGCCATGGGCCCCAAACTATTTTTGGGGCTGGGCGAAGATTTTTTTGCCAGTCCGTCCCTGATGAATATAGAAAAAGTTCAGGGGGGGGGGGGCTTTTTCG